AAGAGCTGGCATTTTCCAAAGGGTGCCTCAACTCTATCCAGGTGTGCCTCAAGTCTAAAAAATATTGAGAACCACTGGCTTAGAGAGGAACAAGGGAAGCTGAGAGTATGGTGTTCAAGGCAACGAGGACTGTAAAGAATTGGCAGAAAGCCATGGAAAGACACTTGCTTTGACAAGTGCATTAAGTTGCCTGGATTCAGGTCTTTGCTTTGTTCTTCTTTGCAGAGTTACAGAACATGTCAACACAGGATACAGATGTATTTCCACAAGCCACAGCGAAACTAACTAGCCATACGATTCATTTATCAAAGCCCTTCCAGTTCCCATTTTGAGGCTGTGACTAAAATAGAAGTATTGCGTAAGGAAAGTTGAATAAGACCTCATTAGAATTATGTACAGCCTTTAAAATATGAAATGTATATTTCAGGGGTTTTGTTTCTTTCTTTTTTTTCTCAGTAACATGTCCTGAACATTTGGGGCAAGATTTTAGGAACACTTTAAGTTGGGCTTAGCTATTCTCTTCCCAAAGTCAACTGGAGTTCTTTTGTGAGTTAGGTCACTGCTGAAGGTTTTTGATAGTCCTGCTCTCATTACCTCAGAAAAACATGAATGACTATTTATTTAAGGCAGCCAAAGTTACCTGTGCAATGCCTCCTGCCAAGAACTAATGAAAGGCCACATCTCCAAACTGCAGATTTTCCCCTTCGTCACCTATGCAGCCTGGTCAAAACTTAGGAAATGACATGCGGGATCAGAGTCAGGGTCCACCCAAGCCAGTATCCTGTCTCTGACAGAGGCTACCAGTCTCGTCAGAAGAAAACGTAAAAATCCTGTACCGGTATACTCTGCTTCCATGCTTGGCCTCATCTTGGTTTCTAGTACCATTTCTGCCAGGGCTTTGTCGAGCCACGCCTTGAAAACCTCCAAGGATGGAGATTTCATCACCTTTCTAGGTAACCTGTTTCAGTGCCTCACCACCCTCCTAGTGAGAGAGGTTTTCCTAATATCCAACCTAAACTTCCCTTTCTGCAACTTGAGATGGTTGCTCCTTGTTCTGTCAGTAGGCTTCACTTTTTCCCATACCAAACTGAGCCATCAATGTCTCTTGGAAAGTACATAAGTAATTTCTGTCATATACATTCAGACATCATATAAAGATTTTTTCATTTGAAAAAAGTTCCCCAGCTCCAGCAGGGCAAAAGCACAGCAACAGCATTGGGACAAGAGCATGTGTGTTTTGAGACCATTCTGGGACATTCAGTTTTTATTATAAGGGGGAGATGTGACCTCACTTCTTTCTTTTGCTCGGTTGATTTTTTTTTTTTTTTTTAGATGCTGGGCATGCATGTCTGCAGCAAAAAAATGAGGTGATATTACCCTTCAGCAGCGGCGAACTGCCAGCTGCTGATTCTGCACTGCTGCCTCTGCTTTTCCCCTCCCCACTGTTGGAACCGCCAGAGCGGGATGGAGCCAGAGCCTCTGCAAGGAAGGTGCAAGGAGAGGGGGGAGTGCCCAGTGTGCAGTCCTGGATAATTGGACCTCTGAAGCCAAGTACAGTTATTGTCCATGTACCATAAGCAAGGCAACTATACTGTTGTGGTTGCTGCTGATGCAGCTAGGCTGACGTCCTTAGAACAGTATTGTCTGGCAGCAGAACTCACTCTGTGCAGGCAGGTTGGTTAGGGGTTGCTTAGGATCATGCTTTGGTCACACCACAAGCAACAGCTGGCCTCTCTCTTTGCACAGCTGCAAACAAGTCAAGTTCCCTGAACAATTGAGGAACCTGGTTAAGTTCATTTCTGAGGCTCTGAAGGCCTGAGTGACTGTAACTAATGATTGTTAGGAATTGTTCGGAGGGATTGCAGATATGGTGGCAAAGACAAAGAACATCCTTTTCACCTCCTGCACAGCCGAAGCCTGGGAGTGGAAAAAAACAAAAAAAATCTTCCTGATGCCTCATTCATCCATAAAACCACGTGATGTGTGAGACTGAAGCCAGGGAAGAGGGTACCACCCTATTAAAGGCTGAGGGCAAAAGGATTATAAAGTCCTGCTAGCAATGTAGCTTTCTCCCTTAAAGTACTTTGGCAAGGCTCAGGTTCTGTTAGCCTCTGAAGAATGACCTGAGACCATGTCCTTTGTCTCAGTGGACAACAGCTTAACCAGCTTCACACTATTGAAGATTGTGATTTGATACAGGGCATAGATAAGATTATTAACCATAGACCTGGGCCAAGATGTTCCCTCTATATCTGCTTTCTGTAAGATGTTTATTTTAGTCATCCCAGTGTCACTGAAACCAAGAGATATAAGGGACCTAGACTGTCCATGTTACAATACAACAACTGTATATTTAATGATATTATCTATATCACTAAAGATGGCTCTGATAGTTTGCTTAAATTATGGTCTCTATGAAGGACTTAATCCAGCTACCTCTTTATGCAATTGAAGTCGATGGGAATTTTGGATTCATAGGGGATGTAGGGTTCATGTCTTTAAATGTCATGTTCAGCAACCCTTTTCAGCCTTTGATTCTAACTTAAACAAAATCAGACATCAGGAATACTAACTGCAGAGAGGTTCCACTTCAAAGCAGAGCTTTTGGTGGATATAGTCAGGCAGCCAGTAAAGTTGTTGGGTTTTTTAAAGATAAACTGCTGAAAAATCTGGTGTTACTCGTGTTAGCAAGGAGCTGTATGTACTTTCCAGAATTAAGTTTATCCCAATTAATTCACACTCTGGTTGAATGTTTGTATTCTCCTGGATAGGTATGCATCTCTCCTGCTCTTGAATAAAAGCCCAAACAGGATTCTCACTGCATTCTGGAATCCCTCTTTACATCTCAGAATATTAATTTTACTCTCCTTCTGGCTGCATGGGCAGTGGATCCTACAGGAAGGGTCAGCAGTGATGACTGTATGGTTCACTCCCTACCACTGTGGATAAGGTGGAAATAATCTGAAAGATTATATTGTTACAGTTACATTTGGCACTATGGCCCAATGGAGATGCATAGGTAGTAACTACATCCATCCTGTGTACTATGCTTTGGTCTGTCAAGGCCAAAGCATACACCAGTGGTGCCCAGACTGGTCTTGTGCACTTATTGGTGCTCTGGGGAGGGCTGACAAGCCCCTTCCTCCTCTGCCCCATCCTTTTTATTCCTTCCAGCTGCTTTTATGGCTGTATAGCATAGCACCTGGGAATGAGCTGGAAATGAGGAGGAACCAGCTTGGCCACCTTCACAAGGATCTGCTGAGGTAGAACAGAAACAGAAGCAGGAAGATGCTAGCAGGACTGACGCAGGCTAGAGGAGACAGAAGCAGATTCTTCTATGAGAGAGAGAGAAACAGAACTTGGGCACTTGAGAATTAGGCACATGGGAAGGAAAAGAAGGGACTCAGTAAGTAAGTGAATGGGTGGGCAGCGTGAAAAAGAGGATCACCCCAGGTCTGGGTGCATGGGCTTGTGTACACAAGCATGGGATGAGATGAACAGTGAAAGTAAACTTTGTGATTAGTTCTACCCCCCCACTCCCAGGACGGGCATTTCCCTCACCCTGTGAAAGGCAAAAAAGGCCTAAATAAAGCAGAGAATATAGAAATAGGCTGTGTGTTTGGAAAAGAGAGAGAAACTAGAAAAAGACCGAGGTATTAAAAAAAAGTAAAAAGAGAAGTAGGCTGTGGTTCAAAGATATATTGATAAACAGGCGGAGGTTTTTATAAAATAAATAATCCTGGGATGAATGTGAGGTTCAAAAAAAACCTCTCTGAAATGATTCATAACCATATGCTCTGCCCAGGCTAGCTGTGTAACCACACAGCCTTGTATTGCTGCCCTCAGCACCTCTCCACTGTTTTTCTGCAATCGTTTGCAAATAGAGGACCCACTCCTTCAGCATAGTGAGTCAGACTCGGTCAGGATCTGTAGTTAGGGGCCTGAGGCTGTAAGCTTTTCAGGGTAGGGGAGGCATGTCTGTGGTGGTGCAGTGCCCAGCAGAAAAGGTCCCCAGTTCTATTTGGAGCCTTTGGGAGTTTACTGCAGTTTGGGATGAAAGCCATAGAGTTTTGCATAGTCAACCTGCAAAACTATTAAGAAAGTATTTGGTTACTGTATTATAAGTAGTAATAATTAATAATAGTTCCCAAATACTTTCTTAATGGTTTTGCAGGTTGGCTACTACTGTCATTGCCACAGGAAATCTATGGGAGTGGGATGAGAAGAGGGGAAGGAAGGCAATGTGGTCTGTGCAGCCATGATTTGGAGCGTAGAGATCCCAAAAGAGCTCTCTGTTGAGATGGGGCCCACAATTTAACATGCCAAGGATCCCTTGAGGAAGACAGCAAAAAGCCAAAGGTGTTGTCACTGTACCACATGATCCTGCAGCTAAACAAAGAGCTTAGAGTTGATGACAAAGCTGTACCTAACTACCACAATGAAATCTGTGCCTGCACAAAATGAGCTTAGTTTTCATTTTCATTATAAAACCCAGAACCTGGCCAGGTCTGCAAACATTTTAGCAGAGCTGAGCCAAGTTTTAAGAAACCTGGCCTGATTTATAGCTTCCGATGGAAACTATTCAAAACAGTATGGCTTCCATCCCAAACCAGACAAAAGTTTTGTGTGTTTTGCCTGTATTTTACTTTGGAGGTTTGAGGTCTAGTTGAGTATGAAACTCGAAGGAAAGCGTAGAGTCCTAAGATCCTTGTTCAGCAAATCCAAGAGAAAAGTTTATTGTGAACTCAAGCCATTCAAGTCTTGTACAGCTGATAGTCTGTTTTTATTTTATGTTTTTCATATCTACCACACTCATGAATTTAAATGAGATACAGATTCTGTGCTGATTTTTGTTTCCTTGTTGGCTGACATCTGGAAACTCAGTTTTATTCATACATAGGCTTTGGTGAATAGCTTTAGCTCCATTTTCCTTGTTGGCACATTCATACTAATTCTCTTCTGGCCAATGAAATCAAATGAGCTTGTATTTCCCCTTGCAGATGTGGTGCTGGAGAAGGCCATGCACAAGTGTATCCTGAAGCCCTTGAAGGGCCACATTGAAGCAATGCTGAAGGAGTTCCACACCGCGGATGGCTCTTGGAAACAGCTAAAGGAGAACCTGCAGCTGGTGCGGCAAAGAACTCCTCAGGAACTGGGCGTGTTTGTCCCAACACCAGACTTTGTGGACGTTGAAAAAATCAAAGTCAAGTTTATGACGATGCAGAAAATGTATTCACCTGAGAAGAAAGTCATGTTGCTGCTGAGAGTGTGCAAACTAATTTACACTGTCATGGAGAATAACTCAGGTACAATTCACCTTGGGTCTAGGCCTCTTTCTGTTTCAAAGCAGAGGCCCCTTTCGAGAGTAAGTCATTTGTCTCAGTATGTCTTTGAGTCCCCTTTTCTTTTCTTTCCTTTGATCTGTTTTAATCTGCCTCTGTTCTTTAGAGGCACAGAGGGACTCTGCCACTCGTCTCTTTCCTAATTTCTGTGCTGCTTCTGGCAGCACAGAGCCGAGATGCAGTAGGAAGATAGACTTATGAACTGCAGGAGCAGCCCTTGGACTGACAACCCTAGTTAACTGTTGGCGTCTGAAGCAGACATTGAGGTTGTTAGAAGGGTTGTCCTGTGGAGCATGAATTTGGCATTCCTAGTCTAAATAAATGTTTCCTGGAGATCCGAGCAGATGGGTTAGATGCATTCTTTGCTTCCCAGCATAGATTAACACCATACATACAATACGTATGCTTGAAAAGCACTTGTAATTGGAAGGTGACGAATAGAGCCGTGATCTAGTACCTCTGGTTAACAATGTCTGCAAAGGTTCTAGTGTAAACACTTGTTCTTATGCTTTGGAGCAAAAATGACATTCCAACATCTACACTGTAACAAGTGTAAAGAAATACTTCCTGGTGACCTTCAAGACTAGATAGCAGAAAGGGGTTACAGACTGATAAGGGGCATATTTTGAATAACTATGTAGAGTCTCAAAGTGGCGCATGGTTAAACATGCTATGCCAAATAGTGAGAATGTGTGGGTGCAACTGTATTATCTTAGGCTGTATAGTCTTAACTACCTCATTAAGTCATGAGCAAGTGAAGCTTATGGATGAGAGACTTCCGAAGGCAAAGATAAGAAGTTAGTGGTATGGGTAGCACTTTTCCCTCTCAGTGAGCAGAGGATCTAGGTTTCAGCATTGCTGTTGGAAGCACCTTCCTGTTGATGTTAGCTAAACTGAATGATGAAGACTTGTGGCCATTAAGGATCTGATGTCGCTTTTGCAAGAGTCAGGTCCAGTACCTGCCTAGGCTATATTCTACCTGCTTAAATTCCTCCAGTTTAAATTAAATACAATAATTTTTACTTCCTGTCACAAACCACTGTCTGCTGTTGCTTCATATTGTTTTAAATATGTTACATTAATTTACATTATAGGAGTGAACTCATATAGAGAGGATGTAAGTTTTTCTGCATAATAAATTTACTGAGCAGTAGGACAGTATCAGTAAATTACTGCAAGAGGGGGCAGAGATGGGATCGGGTGAATGTCACCATGACTATGGCATATGGCACCTTGGGGCCTCTAGAGGCTAGTGTTAAATAAATTGTGATAGGGGATCAGCCAAAGGCAGCTAAGTATCCTTGTTTTAGCTTCAGCCAGCTAACAGACAGGATACCAAGAGGGTTGTTTTAGCTGCTGTAACTTAGAACATCCTTACATTGTTCTAAATTGTGCTGAAGGCTCATTTGGCCCTTGGTCTTCCTGGTTCTAAGCCACCTTCTCTCTGTCACATTCCCTCCCAGGCCCTACTCTGAACACAGCTTTTAATGAAAACTTCAAGTGTGGGAAACACAGCGAAGTATAGGTACAACATCCCCTCAGCCATCACAGATAATACTTGCAGGCTTAACTCAGTAATGTTTGTATCCAAGATTCAGGAAAGGAAGGTGCAGTATAAGTGCATGAAGTGTTATGATTGTTCATATAATGTTACTTATAAGGTAGCTCGTGAGTCCTGTATATTCAATGTTCTGGGCATCTATACACATTTTCTGGAGTGGAGAGGCATGCACTTTAATTAGAGCAGCTCCGAGAGTCTGTTTAATTAAAGCACTTGCAGTGTCACATTTATTCAGTGTCCTGTGCTTCAAAATGGTGGTGGGGGCGCTTGTACTAAAGCTTGTCAAAGCTGAACTTGTATTCAGTCAAACAAGCTTTAGTTAAAGCGCCCCCACTACCATTTTGAAGTGCAGGGATGCAGAATAGACATGACATGAAGGCTGCCGGAGTGCATTAAGTAACATGCTCTAGCAGACTCAATCAACTCTGCTCTAACACATGCTAATTAGCATCTGTCCAAGCACATGTCCAGCACATGTATAGGTGCCCTCTGTGTTGAAATACCTGGTTCAAATCCAAGCAATGGTAGTTGCAGTCAGATCTCCAAGAAAGAGTGTTGTCCTTGTTTATAAAAGGGGGAAAATCATCTTAATCTATTACTAAAAATACATGGGGAAATCCTGTTAGACTTAATGACAAGACTTTAGTAAATCACTTGTGCTGTTAGCTACTGATGCCAGCATAGGCCCTATTTCTAAATTCCTGGCACATTTGAAACTTCAGTTTGGGGGGGAAACAGGAATACAGGAGCAGACAGGGAGTTGGCAGATTGCCAACAGTTGCACTGATGAACATTAAGAAACAGCAACCTGTAAAACAACAAAATGCTGAAAAACAACAAAATAAAAAAAGGTGACTATTGCACTACTGTCTGTGTTCCCTTCACCCCAGGGAGGATGTATGGAGCTGATGACTTCTTACCAGTGCTGACCTATGTAGTGGCCCAATGTGACATGCTGGAGCTTGATACTGAAATTGAATATATGATGGAATTGTTGGATCCATCTTTACTACATGGAGAAGGTAAGTGGTTCTTAATTCTAATTAAGAAAAGATGGACTGTGGGGAAGGAGACTTCCCCCAGCAGTAGAGTTGCCATTATATCCTCTGAATAGGCAGCTTGGGAAGGAGTCACAAAGCTAGTGATGTGTTGCCAGTAGTTTAACAAGAGGCTTCCATAATTGTATCTGTCATAGAGTAGATAAGCCCTGTGTCCCAGTGGTGCATGTGCTTGCAGAGTGTAGGAGTGAGAGACTGGGAGTCTGTTTGTTTGTGTACACTCCCATTTTGCTGAATACATTTTCTCATAACCAAAGAAGGCGGCAGCACGACTTGGCAAACAAACTTGTATTCAGTGGATATGTTTATACCTCAATTCCTGAATATGTTTAGAGAGCAGCAGCATTCAATTAACTTAAGGGTTTTGGTGTGGGCAGTGGGGTGAATGCCTTCTGAGGGTTTTACGGGTGAACCTCCCCTAGGAAATGCTTTACAAGATGCCTCCCACTTGATGCATTCTGATCCACTCCAAAGCCAATGTGTCTGCTTTTTGGACTATTTATACAGGCCCCAGAAATCACTTGCTTGTGGCAAGGTTGACAAATTGACCCTGGTCACTGGATTCTTTTCATTCTCCTAACACTGGTGGCTGGAGGAGGGAGAAAAGGTGGCGAGCAAGGCTGCAGATGTCTTTGCTTAATACAACTATGAAACGGGAGGATTAGGGTTATTTCTCTGCCAGTGACAGCTCTCTTTGTCAACCTTGCCACAAGCAAGTGATTTCTGGGGCCTGTATAAATAGTCCAAAAAGCAGACACA